TTAAAATGATACATTTGTTCAACTTTATTATACAAGCCAATCTCGATGCTAATTTTCTAACCACGCTTCTATCTTCTCTTCTCTTGTTTTCGGTGTTCTTTTGAAAGGGTTTTTGAATTTTCGTTTCTTTTTGACGCCTTCTTTGGACCGTTCTTCTTCGCGTCTTTCATCTTCCATCTTTTGTTTGACGTCCCTGCAAAACAGAGGAACAATAATTTAGTACAGTATACCCTCCTGACGGTCTGTATGGAGGTGCAAGAATCTTATTATCTGTTAAATTTTCGGCGAGTTCTTAGCTACGTACCAGGCCCCAGTTGTTCGAAGGCTGGATAATGCTATCCACCGGATAAATCGCTATCTAGTGGATAATTGTCAACAAAACAAACCACGCTATCCACTGGATAGTGATTTATCCGGTGGATAGTGTTAACCACCTTTCGAACAACCCGGACCGCATTTTTTAGCCAGCAGCACATTTTGCTGATGTTGGATCGCAGCCTTCACTGAATTACAAATTGTGTTATTTTTCCAGCTAAAGTAAAGCTTGCGGATGATCAATAAAGTATGCATAAGTGGGTAATGGGATNATTACCATGCGCTCGACGCTCGCCTTTTTCATCCTTTAGCTCTTTCGATAACGACAGATGTTTCTGGTGGTATTCAATTGCAGTTTGATAATTTCCGAGTTTATAAAACGCAAGTCCGAGAAAACTGAGAGCGTCTGCCTCAGCAACTGGGTCTTTTTCTTCGATGGCGTCGGCTAAACACGTTTTCAGTTCCTTTATCTTCTCGAATAGTTCGTCTTCCGGTTCCTCGACAACTCTAAAATTCTTTGGATCGTTTTCTTCCATAAAACTACCTGCCTCTCCTACACATTTCGACGAATCACTCTATAAAGTTCTTCCAATGCTTAAACCCTTTTAAATGCATAGCGCTGTTGAAGTTCTAATTTTGGTTTACAAAATTTGACCAATCACATCGTTCGGTTTTGTAATCTGGCAGGTGGTAAATTCCGCTCGTGCAGCAATTAACGATGTCAGCTTGACGGGTAAATAACTAAATTCATATGAGTAGTGTCAAACAATCGTTCTCTGGAGGTTTACAGTAGAAGATTGCTTCCAGCCATAATATGTCTATAAGACATGTCATTAGACGTTCAAGTGATTAAAAGCGTCTCAGGAAAACCAAAACACGCGAGCTCCAATTCGGGCAGCGTCCACGCTACGCCGGAGAAATTTGAAAACGCACCTTTAATTTATTTCTACGGTTAGGCCTACCGTCCCCGCTAATCCGAAGCTTTTCGAAAACGCTCTTCAAACCAGAGGAATTTGAAAACGGCGGCTTTTCGTTTGCGTGTTGACGGAAACATTTTGACTGACTGAGCTTCTCGAAAACAATGGTGTCACGATAATCATGTGATTTACCTGAGCGAGTTTTCCCCAAACGCAAATCCAAAATAACCGGTGATTATTGCGTTTTTAAATTCCTCCGGCGTAGTGTGGACAGAAAACATTTCATGCTTTTTAAGAGTGAAACCTTTTTCTAATCGGCGGATCTAGGGAGGGGGCTCGGGGGACCCTGTCCCCTTTATTTTGGGTAAAAAAAGAAAAAATCACAGAAGGAAGAAAAGCCAGCGGGGCAAGCAAAAAAAACAAAAAGCGCCCCCCCTCCCCCCCTACCCTTAGCTCAAGGTCTGGATCCGTCCGTCACTGGCATCGTCAATAGTCAGGCATGCCAACTATGAAAGAAAGGTATTCAATCTCAATTTAAAAAAATATTCGCAGGTGCGAAATTCATTGAAATATCATCCCGCAGGTGATTTTAGCGAAAATGTCTTTAGAAACAAAAAAACAAAAAGCACGGTGGTTTTTAAAAATGGGGTCTCACCCAGTCAGAGTGCTGTAAAAATGTTGAGATTAATAGGGTTCATAGGAAATTACTAGACACAACAGAGTTGTAGACCCTGAACATAGTTTTTGTCCGCCCAAGAGAAAATAAATTGAGGGTTTACCACACATAGATTGTTTCCACTGCTCCAGTAAAGTAATCTTGTACAGAAAAATTGGAGTTAATTAAAATGTCATTTATAAACCATTGACATAAATATATTAAACAGAAACGC